TTTGGGTTCCTCATTCACATAGCCTTACAGATCACTTGAGCGAAGAAACTGATGAACAGTCAAGCGAAGGGAGTGAAGATGATGGAGAGGAAATTCAGTCAAGTGAAGGGAGCGATTCTGAAGAGGATAATCAGTTAAGCGAATAAACTGATGAAGATCAATCAAGCGAAGGGAGCGAAGATGATGAAGAGGAAAGTCAGTCAAGTGAAAAGAGCGATTCTGAAGAGGACGAGCAGACAACTGATGAAGAAGAATCCGATCCTAACAGAGAACAAGACAGCGAGTCTGAGGACGAGGATGGAGATGGCGAGAGTAGCGAGGACAGCAGCAGTGAGCCGGAACAGCAAGGCCCTAAGGAGCACCAACCACAGAGGAGTGGCCAGCGCTCGAGGCAGAATCCCGAAGAGTCCAGCCGGAAGAAGGATCTTGATAAGCAAACACAGCAGCACAAACGCTCGTCAAGCGAGCACCAGAAGTCTAAAAGAAAGACTCCATGTCCGGCAAAACCTGCGAAGAAGTTGGGTAAGGGATCATGCCTATGGAAGCATAGGTAACCCATGAAATTATATGTGAAAATAAATTCAAGACCCTCGTTGTAATGATATTGAAAATAATGATGATTATACAGCAATAATAACGTTGTTGTATAATACCGAATGACAATGACTGCAATAATCATTACTTGGCTATACTTTGGCAACAATGGTATGTTTGAACCGATTTCATAACAGTTACTGCAACAGTGCATTCACAACTGTTAATTGTATTTTCTTAACCAGGAAAAAAACACATTCCAAAACAAAAAGGAACACCGCCACAATCAACTAAAGAAGCGAAGAAGTCACCAACTCCAAAGGTAAACTTCCAGATGTTTCTATTTCTCTCTAAATCAAAGAGCATGTTGGAGTAATTTATAGCTCCATAACTTGACCATTGAACATTCTTAAAGTAGCAGTTTCACTGCCATAGTTTGTTGCATTACTGATGAAGAAAGACTGAATGTTAAAAGAACAGGCTCCAGCTGCGATTTTTTCGTTGATAAATACATGGAAATGTTTAGATTACCTGCTAAAGAGACTCCTGGAATTAAGTTTATGTGATGAAATATGTCTCATTTCTCTAGACTGTCACGAAAAGCAGAGATGCTCGAGGGGAGACGGACATAGACAAGCAAGCAGGAAAGCCTAAAGCTATGCAGAAGACAACGAAAAGGCGGAAGTCTGAAGGTAGTGTCTTTATATAATGATAATAGTAATAATGATATGAAGTCCATCAAAGATTTCTCTTTTTAGCGGTTCGAGGTCACTATTTACATTTCCTTTTCCATTTTCTTCGATAATTTTTGGATTTTTACAGGTATATTATGGTAAACGTTATATAATCTCGTGTGCGATGTGCCTTCGTTTCTTAAATCCGAGACACTTAATCCAAAACACATTCTATATGGCAACAAAATTTATTTATGAGCAAGTTCATATATCTTGCAGAATTTGAAAAGGAAGAATCTCCATATATTGACGCGAAGAGGGCCTGTCAAAGAAAAAAGAGAGAACCAAAAATATCTGCTGAGATGGAGGACCGAGCCATTAGTAAGTGATCAAAACTCAAAAATGTACATTGTAGACACAAAGTACACAAAGATGAGTGCGTACCGTTTACAGGCCTATGTCGGTCATAGAAAAAAGTTTTTGGCCAATTCCTTTTATTCTATAATCATATTAAAATAAATGTTACATCTAACATTATGTTTCAGCAATGGATATTAAAGAATGACATGAATATCCTCTTTTCTTATCTCTACATCCTTCCTCTAACAAGTTATGGATCACCCCCCCCCCCACCCATCTTTCTGATTTCTTCAAAGTAGATCTTCATAAATAAAAGAAAAAAGTGCACAATCTCTAGTACGAGTTCGGTATGGAAACAGAAATTGTCCCTTGTGCCCACAGAGGAGAGGAGAGAGCCAAGAGCCACCGGCAGACACGACCGTGAGTATGACAGCGAAGGAGCCCCTCGGGGTCGACAAGGCAAGACGTGCGGAAAAAGGAATGCAGGTCAGTCCTTCTTTCATCATGCTGAAACATAATGTTAGATGTAACATTTATTTTAATATTGATTATTAGAATAAAAGGAATTGGCCAAAAACTTTTTTCTATGACTGACATAGGCCTGTATTCGGTACTCACTCATCTTTGTGTACTTTGTGTCTACAATGTACATTTTTGAGTTTTGATCACTTACTAATGGCTCGGTCCTCCACCTCAACAGATATTTTTGGTTTTCTCTTTTTTCTTTGACTCGCCCTCTTCGCGTCAATATATGGAGATTCTTCCTTTTCAAATTCTGCAAGATATATGAACTTGCTCATAAATAAATTTTGTTGCCATATAGAATGTGTTTTGGATTAAGTGTCTCGGATTAAGAAACGAAGGCACATCGCACACGAGATTATATAACGTTTACCATAATATACTTGTAAAAATCCAAAAGTTATCGAAGAAAATGGAAAAGGAAATGTAAATAGTGACCTCGAACCGCTAAAAAGAGAAATCTTTGATGGACTTCATATCATTATTACTATTATCATTATATAAAGACACTACCTTCAGACTTCCGCCTTTTCGTTGTCTTCTGCATAGCTTTAGGCTTTCCTGCTTGCTTGTCTATGTCCGTCTCCCCTCGAGCATCTCTGCTTTTCGTGACAGTCTAGAGAAATGAGACATATTTCATCACATAAACTTAATTCCAGGAGTCTCTTTAGCAGGTAATCTAAACATTTCCATGTATTTATCAACGAAAAAATCGCAGCTGGAGCCTGTTCTTTTAACATTCAGTCTTTCTTCATCAGTAATGCAACAAACTATGGCAGTGAAACTGCTACTTTAAGAATGTTCAATGGTCAAGTTATGGAGCTATAAATTACTCCAACATGCTCTTTGATTTAGAGAGAAATAGAAACATCTGGAAGTTTACCTTTGGAGTTGGTGACTTCTTCGCTTCTTTAGTTGATTGTGGCGGTGTTCCTTTTTGTTTTGGAATGTGTTTTTTTCCTGGTTAAGAAAATACAATTAACAGTTGTGAATGCACTGTTGCAGTAACTGTTATGAAATCGGTTCAAACATACCATTGTTGCCAAAGTATAGCCAAGTAATGATTATTGCAGTTATTGTCATTCGGTATTATACAACAACGTTATTATTGCTGTATAATCATCATTATTTTCAATATCATTACAACGAGGGTCTTGAATTTATTTTCACATATAATTTCATGGGTTACCTATGCTTCCATAGGCATGATCCCTTACCCAACTTCTTCGCAGGTTTTGCCGGACATGGAGTCTTTCTTTTAGACTTCTGGTGCTTGCTTGACGAGCGTTTGTGCTGCTGTGTTTGCTTATCAAGATCCTTCTTCCGGCTGGACTCTTCGGGATTCTGCCTCGAGCGCTGGCCACTCCTCTGTGGTTGGTGCTCCTCAGGGCCTTGCTGTTCCGGCTCACTGCTGCTCTCCTCGCTACTCTCGCCATCTTCATCCTCGTCATCAGACTCGCTGTCTTGCTCTCTGTTAGGATCGGATTCTTCTTCATCAGTTGTCTGCTTGTCCTCTTCAGAATCGCTCCCTTCGCTTGACTGATCTTCCTCTTCATCATCTTCACTTCCTTCGCTTGACTGATCTTCATCAGTTTCTTCGCCTGACTGATCGTCCTCATCATCATCACATTTTTTGCTTGACTGCTCTTCCTCTCCATCACTTCCATCCGAACTGCTGTCTCGGTCAGATTCCTCACTCGGGTCAGACTGGTCATCCGAGTCCTCTGACTGGGGTTCTTGTGGCTTTTGCTTTGTGTTCTTTGCATTTCGCTTTGTGCCTTTTAGCTTCTTCCCCTGGTCCAT